CTTTGACCGTGAAGACCTAATTGCATCCCATTATTTTCTTTCCACTAGATATATCCACTAAATCTCAAGTGTAGTTTTCGACAGTGAATTTGACTCAACTCTAACGAGTAGTAGACCCTCTCTGATACCATGTGCACGAAATGAAGCAAATAACTAGTTGTATTATTCCAAGAGGTAAGCAATATAAATACATGTGCATCAGGTGCTAACTAAGGAAAGAAATAAAAGAGATTCCTACAAATCTGCTATCTATATATAGGTTATGTACACTACTAAAAAAGAATTATGTAAAGCGTTTAGGTTCATTCTGTAACACCAATAAATAATAACACACAGTTATACCTCAATCCAAGCTAGTCGGCCTATGAATCTACGTACACTACATTTCGATTTACTTGAACCCATTTCATTCCGATATTCTATAATTTGAGTTCCCTGACAGTAGAAGTTCTTTACATTTTCTATTAACATGCAAACCATTAGACATTCTCTAAAGACTCCTAGAAACGACAAGCCTAACATAAGTGTAGCATCATTATTTATCCTTAATTCTATCTAGAAAATATCGCCTATAGTGGATCTTTTACTTCCATTATATTGGTTTTTGCTAAATGTACTTGGATTCTGAGAGATTTTTAAACTTTTTCTTGATATGATTTTAGGTATGTCTCGTCTCTCTTTAATATATTCAATCGCCATAGTTTTTGTACTTATAAACCTGTGCATAGAGAAATCCACGCAACATAAAATGACCAAACCATATCAAACGGCATTCTAATCTTGTATGGTCTAGACCTATCTTAAACTCTGCATTTTTAAAACACTTCTCTTGTGGTTATGCTGGACATTAGAGGCTCAACATGCATTCCTATATAACGATGCAGGTCTTATGATTGTTCTATGCAATTTGACTTTCATTATCATAGGTATTCCCGTAACTCTTATAACATTCTCCTAGCAACTCCTCCTTTTTTATCATCATATTTTAGTTCTTTATATGTATGTGTTATTTCTTTGTTTGCCATTCTATTTTTCTAGAACATAGAATCGAGATATCTTAATTTTCTGCCTTCAAGCTTCGCAATCGCATCTAACCCCACCTCATGTTCATTCTTTTCATGCTGGTTAAACTTGCCATGTATATTGTACATGATAGGTTTTAAGTTTAAGTTTCAATGATGATAATATTATCTTATGTTATATTTTCAGGACAAACAAAAAAGAAAGAATGAAGATGCTTAGCAAGATTGCTACTGGATTAAAAATAAAGGAAGAATGAAGAAACAATTACTGCATTAATGATCAATCAAGAAGCAGATTGACTCGTCCTCAATCAAGGGAAGAATGAAGATTCAGTTATAGCATTAATGATCAATCAAGAAGCAGATTGACTCAATCAAGGGAACTCAGATTACCAATCATGGTCACTCCAGTTTTGAAGACCACGCTTACGAATTAATCTCTCCTTAAATTCAGCTGTGACAAGGAAGGTCACATTCGAATCTGGGCCAGTCAAAGAGCAAGATTCAAAGAGGCACCTCTTGGGTCAAATCCCTTAATTAAAGATCTTGTGCCTCCAATTTTGAAAAGGACTCAACGGCTCTTTTATCTTGTGTAAGAAGGATGCTCTCTCAAGAAGAAGATTACATAACGACAAAAAGTGTATTTCAAATCTGTCTACTTCTTAATTCAAACACTGTAATTCTGAGTTATCAATGTCTCAAAAGATAGAGAGATCTAGAGTACAAAAGAAAGTTGTGTCAATTGATTAGAACCCAAGTGCTGATTCCATACGTTGGTGGTAAACACAAAAATCATCAATTTTGTAACTTTATTCAAAGATCTTAAGGGAATCCTTGTGACCCAAGGGAGATTGGATATAAGTACCACAACAGTACTGAACTAGTATAAATCGTGTGTGTCTTACTATTGCTCTTTACTGCTTTTACTCTTTATGTCTCGTGGTTAGTCAACTAATACTTACATTAGTTGACTAAATTTTAACTAGGCAACAATTCACCCCCCTGTCACGATCCTAAATCTGGACCTGATCGTGATGGCGCCGCTCGTGAAGACAAGGCCAGCTGACACTTACCCATTTCAGTTTTAAACAATTAAAAATAAGCATTAAGTCTAAAACATAATAAATAATCCAAAAGTAAGCAGTTAACAGAACAGTTTGCGGAAATAAAACCTAACACAGCCCGATACCGAGGTGTCACTAGTCATGAGCATCTACCAATTCTAACACATGTCTGAAAAGTCTACAAAGCTATTACAAAGTCACTAATAAGGGAAAAGAAATGAGATAAGGGGGAGAAACACGGGACTGCGGACGCCAAGCAGCTACCTCGTGAACTCCGAAGTCTGCCGGCAGCTCTCAACTCTCGCTAGCAGGATCATCAATGTCTGAATTTGCACACGGAATGCAGGGAGTAAAGTGAGTACTCCAACTCAGTGAGTAATAATCATAAATAAAGACTGAAAGCAAGAAATCACGTAACGCATATTATAGGCTATAATGAAGCAGTAAAAAAAGCTAGTAAAATAGTGAATTAGTAAAGATATGTAAAAATCACTTCAGTTCAGTTTAAACTTCATAAAAGGCCATTTTAACAATTAAGCAGGTAAATGACAGGCAATAAGGAAGATAAGCACATAAAGGTTCGCCCCTCGGGAACAATGTCAACAAATCCTCCCCTCGGGCAATATCTCAGAACAATACCAGCCCCTCGGGCTTTATCTCACATCACAATGGGTACCCACGCTCACTATGGGTATGCAGACTCCTGGAGTGGCCCCTTACGGCCCAAGTACAACATCAAGCCATCTCGTGGCATCATCACTAGGCTATCGGCCTCATATCAACAAGCCACCTCGTGGCGTACATATCTCAGGCCCTCGACCTCATAATCATAATCAGTGTTCCATCACAACATAAGCCATCGGCCTTACTTAGTCGAAAATCCTCACAAGCCACTCTGGCAATAGTAAAACATAGTGCTTAGCCCAAAACATCATTTAAATGTTAAAGTAGAGTAAACATGGCTGAGTTATGAAAAACAGTAGAATATAGCATGACTGAGTTCAAGTATAAAGTCAAAACAGTGAGGAAATATCAATAAAAATCTCCTAAGGGTTAAAATAGTTGGCACGAGGCCCAAATATAACATTCAGCCCAAAACAAGATGATAGCAAATAGATGTCAGTCAAATATGCGGTAAAATAGTCATTTGGGACGGACTAAGTCTCAATCCCCAACAATGCACTACCCCACGTTTGTCCTCTAGTGTGTGTTTCACCTCAATATAGCACAACGATGTGGAATCCGGGATTTCATACCCTCAGGACATCATTTACAATCATTACTCACCTCAATCCGGTCAAATCTCTAGCCTGCGACGCCTTTTCCCCTCGAATCAGCCTCCACTCGCATTGAATCTATCCAAAATCATAATCACGACGTCAAAATATGCTAAGGGAACGAAGCCCAAGCGAAAATATTCAATTTACAATATAAATCCTGAAATTACCAAAACCCGACCCCCGGGCCCACGTCTCGGATTCCGATAAAAAACACATCAATGGATTCCTTATCACTTCTCGAGTTCATTCATACCAAAAGCATCAAAATCCAACCATAAATGACCCCTCAAATCCCAATTTCTAGGTCTCCAATTTCAAGCCCTAGTTCTTCAATTTCAGGCTTAATTTCAATGAATAATTAGGTGGAATTCACATTAAAATCGAGTGTTAAGTCCATGAATCTTACCTCCAAGTGTTTCCCCTTGAATCCCTCTTCAATCATCTTCAAAAAGCTCCAAATTCGCTCAAAAATGGTGGAAATAAACCCTAAAATCGTGGACAAGACGACTATTTTAACATTCTGCCCAGGCCTCATTTCCTTCTTCGCGAACGCGGTCAACGCCTCGCGTTCGCGAAGCACAAATCAACTTTGACCAAAAAATTCCTCTTCGCAATCGCGACCTGCCCATCGCGAACGTGATGCTTCCTCAGACAACTCTTCGCAAACGCACCCCCTCTCTCGCGAACGCGATGAACAACTCAAACTCAAACCCAGCTGACCAATTTTCTCTACGTGAACGTGCTCCGATTCTCGCGAATGCAATTCCTAATCAACCATCCCCTTTGCGAACGCATATCCTTCCTCACGAACGCGAAGGCTAAAATTCCAGCCTTCACCAACTAACCCTTCGCGAACGCAAGGACCTACTCGCGAACGCGAACGCGAGGACCTACTTGCGAACGCGAAGTTCTAATTTCTCTGCAACACTCAGCAGTTTTTCTGCAATTCCAAACAACATGAAATGGTCCGATTACCACCCAAAACTCACCTGAGGACACCGGAACGCTCAAAACAACATCAAAACACCAAATTTGCATCGGATTCAAGCCTAAGAATTCTAAAATCTTCAAAATTACGCTTTTGATCAAAAACCCAACCAAACCACGTCCGAATGACCTGAAATTTTGCACACACATCCCAAATGATACAACAGAACAGAAATACTACAACTCTCGGAATTCCATTCCGACCCCTATATCAAAATCTCACCTATCAATCGGAAATCGCCAAAAATCCAATTTCGCCAATTCAAGCCTAAATCTACTCTGGACCTCCAAAGCTCATTCTGATCACGCTCCTAAGTCCCAAATCACCTTCCGAAGCTATCCAAACCATCGAAACTCACATCCGAGCCATCTAACACATAAGTCAACATCCGGTTGACATTTTCAACTTAAGCTTCCTCAAAAGAGACTAAGTATCTCAAACATTACCAAATCCTTCCTGAACCCGAGTCAACCAACCTGATCACATATAGAACCGATAGACCAGGCTATAAGAAGTAGAAATGGGAGAAACGGAGCGGTAATTCATGAGACGACTAGCCGGGTCATCACACCCCCCTCTTGTACTTTCAATTAGTATCAGAGCAAGGCTCACAATCTGTGTTTTACCGCTAGTGAGAAAAAGATCAATGGGATCCAAAACTATTGTCGGTGCTTTCTTTCAAGAAGGAACCTCTCAGGTTCGACCTCCTTACTTCAATAGTCAGCATTTTTCTCATTGGAAAGTTCGCATGGAAACATATACCATGTCATATGACATCAAAGTATGGTGTGTGATTAAAAAAAGAAATCTTCCAATTCCTCCCATGAAGGATGCAAATGGTGAAGTCATCACATCAACTAATCCTCTAGATTTAGATGATTACACTGATGAACAAGCTGTTGTTATCACTGTAAATGCAAAAGCAAAAAATCAACTGTACAACGCTATCGGTGGAGAAGAATATGAAAAAATATCCAGTTGTGAGACTGCAAAAGAAATGTGGGATAAACTGGAAGTCACTTATAAAGGAACCAACAAAGTGAAAAAGACTAGAATAAATCTCCTGGTTAAGGAATATGAATTATTTCAAATGAAGGATGGAGAATCTGTTGAAGAAATATTTTCCAAATTCAGCAAAATCCTTGGAGACCTCAAATCATTTGGAAGATCTATTAAAAGTGGCGAACATGTTAGAAAGATCCTTAGAAGTCTACCTACAATCTGGCAACCAAAAGTTATCGCTTTAGAATGTCAAGATTTGGACAAAATATCCTATGATGAACTCAGAGGTGACTTGATTGCTTTCGAGAAAACTCATCTTGATAGACAAATTCAAGAGAAAAAGAAAATTGTTGCTTTCAAGGCAACTATGGCTGAACCTGAAAATGAAGATGAAGTAGAAGGAGGAGAAAAAGATGAAAACATTGCAATGCTCTCACAAGTTATGACCAACATGATGAGAAGAAACAAAAACTATAGAAGAGGTAAGTTTAATTTCAGAAAAGGAAGGGCGAGCAATGAAACAGATAAAATGATGGAAGATGCTACGAATATGGAAAGGTCGGACGTTCAATCTGAGTGTCCTAAATTAAAAAGGAAGCTTAGCAGAAACGTGCAAAAGAAGAAAGATTTTGGAGCATGGAGTGATGGGGAGGAATCTGATCATGAGGAAATTGCCAACATGTGCTTTATGGCTCTTATCCGACAATGAAGAATCAGATAAACTTGGACTAATGACAGACATCAACAATGAAGAAGATGATTTAAGAAGACCCTGTTTGCCGTTGGATGAAGGAACTAGTGAGGTACGTACTCCTTTATGTCCAACTTGTTATGAACTTCAAGAATTTGTTGATATTGCTCTTGCAGACATAAAAAGAGTAGTAAATGAACTCAGAAAAGTCAAAAGAGAAAGAGGAAGAAAAAAGAAGGATTGGGCCCTAAAACTAGAAGTATGCGAAATTGAACGTGATATATTTCAAGAATAAGTAAACGAACTGAGGCTTCAATTGAATGGTCTAAAAAACCTCAAGTTCTAGCTCAGTCAAAACTGATCAGAACGCCCCTATTAGAAATAAAATAGCGTGTTCCTTTTGTGATAAAAATGGTCAGAGCACTAACAATTGCAGGAACAGAATTAGAGCTGAGAATAATTCTAGAAACTTCAACAACTCATCTTGCACCTATTGTGGTAAAAGAGGTCACGCCTCAAATCATTACAGGTTCAAAAACTACAGGAGGTAGATTTGGAGACCAAAATCTTCAAATCAAACTAACTCTCAAAAATCTAACCAGTCAGGACCCAAACAGGCTTGGGTACCTAAAAAAAGTAATCTTGTTTTGCAGGAACACCACAAGAAGAATTGAAAAGTAAAATAGTATCTCTACAGCGCGTGTTCCAGACATATGACGGGTTACAAACAATTGTTCAAATCAGTCACCAAGCTAGATGGAGGAACAGTTACTTTTGGTGAAAAATCTAAAGGAATTGTTATTGGTGTTGGAAAGGTTCCTTTAAGCTCTACATATGATGTGGATGAAGTTTACTTAGTAGATGAACTCGGGTACAATCTTCTTAGCATCAGTCAACTATGTGACAATGATTATGAGGTTCGTATTAAGAAACATGGTTGGTTCATAGAAGACGAATCAGGTAACATCATTCTCTCTGGTAATAGGGACAGAAATGTTTATACTATCAAAAACTTAGAAAACTTTGGGGTTCAAATTTGTCTTTCTTCTATAATTGAAGATCCCTGGATTTGGCATAGGAAACTTGGGCATGCAAGCATGTACACCATTCAATAACTTTTAAAACATGACATTGTCGTTGGTCTTCCAAAATTGGATTTTTCAAAAGATCATATATGTGATGCATGTCAATTAGAAAAACAAACTCGATCCTCTTTCAAAGTTAAAGACATTGTTTCAACCTCTAAACCTCTTCAATTGCTGCATATGGATTTATTTGGCCCCAGTAGAACTCCTAGTATCGGAGGTAAGAAATATGCTTTTGTTATCGTATATGATTTCTCTAGATTCACGTGGGTTATATTTCTTAGTCATAAAGATGATGCCTTAAAGAATTTTGAAGTCTTTTGTAAGAAGGTTCAATGTGAGAAGGGTTACTACATCTCTACAATCAAGAGTGATCATGGAGGAGAGTTTGAAAGCAGAGAGTTTGAAAATTTCTGCGATGATCAAAGAATCTCCCATAATTTCTCTTCACCTAGATCTCCTAAGTAGAATGGTGTAGTAGAGCGGAAAAATAGAACCTTGCAGGATATGGCAAGAACCATGATAGTGGAAAACTCTTTACCTCATCATTTCTGGGCAGAAGCTGTAAGTACAGCATTTCATATTATTAACGTATGTCTCATTCATCCTATTCTCAAAAAGACTCCCTATGAACTATGGAATGGTAAGAAACCAAACATCAGCTACTTCCACCCTTTCGGATGCAAATGATTTGTTCATAACAATGGTAAGGATAATGTGGGTAAGTTTGATCCAAAGAGTGATAAAGGTATATTTCTTGGTTACTCCCCCTCAAGTAGAGCTTACAGAGTTTATAATAAGAGAACCTTATGCATTGAAGAATCTATTCATGTTATTTTTATTGATACTAACCCTCGTCCAAGGAATGAACTATTCCTGAAGATGAGGAAATTCGTGTGCTCCAAAATCTGTTATTGTAGGTAAAGATCATCAAAGTGTGCCAGCTAATCAACAGACTCAACCAGTTGAAGCTCCTTCAGAAGATCATGACTCATCTCAACCAGATCAGTCGACTAACATGGAAAAGATCTCTTCAGTTAATACTCCAAATGAATGGAGGAACGAACCAGGATACCCTCACAAATTCATTATAGGAGATCCACAGGAAGGAATAAATATAAGGAGATCACAAAAGAACAAGTCTCATGTAGCTCTCATTTCTCAAATTGAGCCCAATAAGAGTGATAAATCTCTAAAGGATTCTCATTAGATCAATGCTATGAAAGAAGAATTAGATCACTTTGAGAAAAACAAAGTCTGGGAAGTAGTTCCAAAATCTCAAAACTCCTCTGTTGTTGGGACTAAATGGGTTTTCAGAAATAAATTGGATGAATTAGGCCAAGTCGTTCGAAATAAAGCAATACTGGTGGCTCAAGGTTACTCTCAACAAGAAAGAATCGACTATGATGAAACCTTTGCACCTGTGGCAAGACTTGAATCCATCCGAATTTTACTTGCCTTTGCCGCTCACAAAGGATTCAAACTATATCAGATGGATGTTAAAAGTGCGTTCCTAAATGGTTATATATCTGAAGAAGTATACGTGAAGCAACCTCGTGGGTTTGCAAATGCCACTCTTCCAAACCATGTATACAAGCTGACTAAAGCCTTGTACGGTCTCAATCAAGCTCCGCGAGCATGGTATGAAAAGTTAAGTTCTTTTCTTTTGAATCAAGGTTTCAAACGAGGTAACATAGATACAACTCTTTTTATTAAGCAATCAAATTCTGGTAATCTCATTACTCAAATTTACGTTGACGATATTATCTTTGGTAACCCTAACACTACTCTTTGTGAAGAATTTTCTCTTTCCATGAAAGGTGAATTTGAGATGAGCATGATGGGAGAACTAACCTTCTTCCTTGGACTTCAAATCAAGCAGTCTCCTAAAGGAATTTTCATCAGCCAAACTAAGTACACCAAAGAGCTTATCAAAAAGTTTGGAATGGAAAATGCTAAGACTATTGGCACTCCTATGAGTCCAAGTACTATGCTAGATGATGACAGCAATGGAAAAATGGTTGATGAAACTATGTATAGAGGAATAATTGGATCTCTACTTTATTTAACTACTAGTAGATCAGATATTATGTTTAGTGTATGTAAATGTGCTAGATTTCAGTAGCTCCTAAGGAATGCCATTTGACTGTTGTTAAACGCATTATTAGATATTTAATTGGTATTTCTGAATTCGGCCTATGGTATGATCATTCTAACAATTTTTCCTTAATAGGCTTTTCATATGCTGATTTTGCAGGAGACAAAACTGATAGGAAAAGTACTAGTGGGGCATGTCAATTGCTGGAAAATGCATTAGTATCTTGGCACAGCAAGAAAATAAATTGTATTGCTCTTTCAACAAATGAGGCAGAATACCTAGCTGTTGGAAGTTATTGTACACAAGTTTATGGATCATGCAACAACTGCTTGACTATGATTTATGTCTTACTACTACTCCTATTTTTTGCGACAACACCAGTGCTATCTCAACCAGATTAAACATCTAAAAATTATGTGCATCATTCTAGAGCAAAGAATATAGAAATTAAACATCATTTTATTCGTGATCATGTTGCAAAAGGTGATATTGTATTAGAATTCATTAGCACGGATTCTCAACTTGCTGATATTTTCACTAAATCTCTTTTAGAAGAAAGATTTTGTATCCTTCGAAAAAAGATTGGCATTCTGCCAAATTTGTAAATCAATTACTTTTTTAAGTGGTTAAATTATTTTACACGCTTTCAGTATATTTTATTTCCTTAATTATCTATGTATTAATTAATTTTACTGTGAAAGTGTAAATATTACTTGCAGTCATTCAGAACCATCACCTCCGTGTATACTTGACCCTTCCGATAACCAAGATGCCCCTTCACTTATCTCAAATCCTTGATAAAAAAAACCTCCCTCTTCCAAATACTCTCCTCATTCTCTACCAAACCTTCGATTTCTCCATGGCCAAAAGAAACCCTTCCTCTACAACCAGACAAAGCCGTAGGTTTCAAAAACCTCTCAATACAGAAGAAACGGTGGATGTAGAATCATCTACTGATTCAGACCTTCTCAAGACTGACAATGATAGCAGCGCCTCATTTGAAAATCACTCCATTAGCTAGAAAAAGGCCAGAAAATGACCCATGGAGCAAATCCCCAAAAAGGCTGCATGCAAAAAGGGCAAGGTAGAACGTTTGAATTTTGGTCTGGAAGACAAGTTGATCTTCTATGGCCCCAGTGAAAAGGTAAGGTTTGAGTCCTATATGTCAAAATCCATGACTTATGGACGTTGTGTAGGTCTCCCTTTTATGCAAAGTCTTCATTGTGATGTGACTGCAATTTTTGATTTTCATCACATTTCCCCTCTATTTGACACTCTTGGAAATTCTGTATATGAAGAACATGTGAGAATGTTTTATGCAAATCTGTTTGTGAATGATAAGGATGACTTAGAATCTATGGTCTTAGGTACTAGAATTGTGTTGGACTCCTACCAATTTGAAAAGATTTTTTCTGCCAAATTTAGTGGGTATGATGTGTTTGTCCAAAATTCTTGGCCCAAAAACTTTGAAGTGTCTCTTGAAGAAGCAAAAATTTTCTTGTCTTATAATTCCCCTGACATTGGCCCCAAAAATTTAAAGTTTGAACACCGTGTTTTGGCCCACATGATTGCCACTACTCTACTTTTCAGGTTTGGGTCTCTAAGTTCATTGTCCACTAGAGATATCTTTGTCCTCTACTATCTGGTCAACAACAAGCGTCTTAATTGGTTTGTATGGATTCTTCAATATATGCTTGAGAGTATCAGGGATATTTCTTCTTCTGCTGCTTGTCTGCCCTATGGTATTCTTATCTCTCATATTCTGGAAGTTATGAAGGTTGACTTGGCACCCTTTACACCCAAGCACATCTCCAGTACCTATGATAAAATTGCTTTTTCTATGATCGGTTACTCATTGGGTGAAAATGGATGGGTTAAGAGGGCCAAGGTTGATAGTGCTCCAGCTCCGGTTGATGTTCAAGTTGATCAACTAGTTCTTCAGTCGACTACCTCCTAGAGCCTTCCACACATTCAACAACACCTTGATGAAGTCAAGCTGCTGCTGGTGGGAATGAAAGAACAGGTAGATAAAATCAGAGAAGTCTCTAAGGAGACAGGTTCAGGCGTGGCAAAGCTACGGATAGACATAGGGGCTACAAGGAGACATGGAACCATGGCCTTCAATTCCATGACTGAAAAGACGGATAAGCTCGTCAAGGATGTTGACAACTCCTATGACTCCTTCTGCACCAAAGTGATCAAGACCCTCAAATACTTTTTGGGACGTCATTAATTATCTCTGGCTGTTTTGTGACAAACAACTTATGTTTTTTGCTGTTTTTAATAGTGGCCTTTAGATAATTATTTTTTGGTCTATACTAACCTAAGCCTCTCCTGAAGGCTCTACTGCTCTAACCCCTTTTAGTATGTACATTATATTGCTCTGTGTTTCTGTATATTATATTACTCTTCCTTTTTTATTGATGTCAAAGGGGGAGAAAAAAAGGTGGGTAAACACTCAGGGGAAGACATGAGCACAACTTTCCAAATATAGGAACAATTCAAGGGAAGCACTAGCTCAGTGGGAGCAACTCCTTAAAAGAGAAGTATCTCAATTTTCTTTAAACTTGTTTACTCCTTCTTGATTGTCATCATAAAAAGGGGGAGATTGATAGGTTTTAAGGTTAAGTTTCAATGATGACAATATTATCTTATGTTATATTTTCGGGACAAACAAAAAGGAAAGAATGAAGATGCTTAGCAAAATTGCTACTAGATTCAAAATAAAGGAAGAATGAAGAAACAGTTACTGCATTAATGATCAATCAAGAAGAAGATTGATTCGTCCTCAATCAAGGAAAGAATGAAGATTCAGTTACTGCATTAATGATCAATCAAGAAGCAGATTGACTCGATCAAGGGAACTCAGATTACCAATCATGGTCACTCCAGTTTCGAAGACCACGCTTACGAATTAATCTCTCCTTGAATTCAGCTGTGACAAGGAAGGTCACATTCGAATCTGGGCTAGTCAAAGAGCAAGATTCAAAGAGGTACCTCTTAGGTCAAATCACTTAATTAAAGATCTTGTGCCTCGAATTTCGAAAAGGACTCAACGGCTCTTTTCTCTTATATAAGAAGGCTGCTCTCTCAAGAAGAAGATTACGCAACTACAAAAAGTGTATTCCGAATCTGTCTACTTCTTAATTCAAACACCGTAATTATGAGTTATCAGTGCTTCAAAAGATAGAGAGATCTAGAGTACAAAAGAAAGTTGTGTCAATCGATTAGAACTCAAGTGTTGATTCCATACGTTGGTGGTAAACACAAAAACCATCAATTTTGTAACTTTATTCAAAGATCTTAAGGGAATCCTTGTGACCCAAGGGAAATTGGATGTAAGTACCACAACGGTACCGAACCAGTATAAATCATGTGTGTCTTACTATTACTCTTTACTGCTTTTACTCTTTTCGTCTCGTGGTTGTACTTTCAGTACACGGGTGCGGTTTTACTTAATTGGGTCGGGTTTTTTGGTGTCGGCGGAATAACCTTAAAATATGATCTTTATCAGACATGGTATATGTAATAAACTACTTAAAGTTAAAAAGAAATTACAACTTACAAGTTCTGTTGACGGAATGAAGCTTCAACGGTGTCTGTAATTTGATATTTTGAATATTTTTCCAATAGTTGAGCGAGTCTACTTAGTACTAACTTGGTCAACTTGAGTGACCACTTAGAGAAATTTACACCAAATTTGTAATAATGTAAAATGTCATAGGTATTTTCTACAATTACATGGACTTAAATAGCACTTGCTAATAATAGGAAAAGACTTTCTATTACACCATATGAACATTTAAAAGCAGTACAGAGGTGAGAGACAGTCTTATTCTGTAGTCCATATATTGTGACATATCATAGACTCATAGTTACACCTTTCACCTCTCCAATTACCAGCTAGTACTAGCATATGTTTTGTGAGACTTAAGAGTAGGTTGGCTTCTCCAGATCCTCGAGAGCGCGAAAAAAGGTCTTCTGTTCCAAGACAGAGTCTACAGAACAACGAGGGTCACCGCAGATAATATTATGAGTGGGTGGCCCAAATACCCCAGTTTGAGGATGAGGAGTCCAGTACTTGTCTGATCCCACCCCGACTATTTCATCAGCTACCGACGAAATATATTCCTCCAGATTCTTGTCATACACTGATATGTGTACCGCCTTCCTGCACCAACTACACCAGCCATTTAATTAATTCAAGATTAATAAAATGGCGAATAGCTAGTACTAATTCACTACAAAAACATTACTCGTCAGTAACAACAACAACATGCAAGAAAGCATAAAAGGATATATAAAAGAACTAAGCAAAGACATATATATGTACAAAATTATACCAGGCAGAGAGGGTAGATGAGTTAGCAGAATTTGCATAGCTGAATTGGTTCAGAATTTGCTTCCCCAAGCTCACAAGTCCACGGTTATGTAAAGTGGCGGCCATACAATTAATATAGTTTACTTTGAAGAAGCAAATGAGTTTTCTAACAATCTCTCTTACACAGTAAGCAAATGAGTTAAGAAGAATAGCGAAGCGCTATGTGATGATCATAAGCTATACATCTGTTTCCCTATTTATACTACTGTAAAACACCACAGAGAGTGGAGTACAAATAAAAACTTACGTATTAGATTCTGTGTATGCACCAAACCGTGTTAATTTAGCAGATGAATGACATGTGTTTTCATATTGATACTTCTTTCGATTTAATTCTGCACTTCCTAAATAATAATAATAATAGTAATAAGCAGCTTTTACCTAGTACAGAAATTTATTTCCATCACGCCATTGTCTCTTCCTTGGTCCACAATTACCAAGTTGGATGGTCCGTTTATCTAACGTAATATCCATGTTTAATCATTTTTATTAATGGTACACAGCAGAGTATTAAATCTAACATAGGGATAACCAAAAGTAGCAACAAAAATAATAATCCTTTTCGAGAATAATTTATTACGCCCTCCGGTCCACAATAAGTGATTAATTTGCTTGAGGCACGCCTGCAGATCCATAATTTGAGCGCAGCGGGGGCACCGCCATTGACATAGATATGTCAACTAGTAATGACAAAATCTTACGTGCTAACTCCTTGAAAACTTAGTGACTTTGAGTCAGTGACCGAAAAGATGTTCAAAAATATCAAAAACTTAGTCGAATAAGATCAGGATTAAAGGTCTGTTAAACAGTTCAAGTAGAGTCTCAGTCACTGTCGTTGAATCGACAGATGTCTGCTACTTTGCCGAAGTGATCCTTGAAGGCGGAATGATTTTTAGAGTTTTTTTATTACCGTTTTGGGAAATTTTTTATTGAATTACTTATTACTCTATTATACATGTCAAGAAAATGGTAATGCTTATAAACTTAATTATCAATCAAAACACTATCAAATTTACTAACACTAGTATCAATCTTTAATAAATATTTTTCTCACTAACTAAACCTCGAACAAAAAGGTCAGAAAAAGTTGACTAATTTTCCAAGACATTTCGAGGAGAATGACTTCCGTCACATTGTATTTCTTATATTGAAACATTATCTTTGTAACAGTATATGATTTAGATTAGGGATAGCCAGACATGCATCACCCGGCGAAGGTTTCTTCCCCCTTCCAATGTGCTTCGATATATTTTTATGTCTCTCTGTTACCTTTTCGATGTCTCGAAAGATATTTCTCAAAGGAATTTCAAACAATTTTGTGTAGAAGTTAACTATTATGTACTAGTGCTAAATAATTGTTTATAAACTTAGAAAAGATAAAGAAAAAAAACCAAGTTAAGCACTAAATACAGGATATACATGAATCCAAAGAGAAAAAGAATAAAATGGAAAAAAACACTAGCATCGGGTCTTGAACCCAGGTCGGGTAACTAGTTTGCAAGGCAATAAATGCAGAATGCCCAACCAGTGGAGCAATCCATCTTTTATTTAAAGGGGCACATCAAAATATTTAATGGGTCTTTGTCATATATACAAATATATATACACGATTTCTGCCGAGGCTATCGGGTTCCGGTGACCCCTCTACGCTTCATGTGGGTCCGCCTATGGGCACGCCCATTAAGAAAATACTAAATTCTATACAAAAATACCTAGTATGACTAAATTATCATTAATTAAATATTTAATGTGAAGAGTTAAAAAACTTTTTAGGGATATGTACATAAGGGTAATCTTGTAAAAACAAATTGAATTCGTTCTTGATTATATAAATGGACACTTATTTTGGACAAAAATAAAAAAGCAAATTGGTCACTTATTGTGAACCGGAGGTAGTACTTCCTCCGACTCAAATCATCTTTCGTGATTTCTAAAACAGCTATTTCAAATTATTTGTCATTTTAGAAATTCAAGACAAAATTAATTATTATTTTTCCATTTCACCCTTAATAGTAATTGTTCTTGAAGATGGAGATAGCACAAAAATAGAATAAATATTCAACAAAGGAAAACTATATCTTAAAATAATGGTAAAATAGTTCAAAATCCATTTTAATTAATATTTTCTTAAGAGACGTACATATATTAATTAATATTGATCAATAATGGAAATTAAAGTCGTCCATAATCTCCTTGTACATTCAGTAATTACATGTTGGTTCCATTGAATGTGTCTATATTCAGTCACACAGAGTAGGTGATATTTGACGCTTTGTCCTTTGACATCTTCCCCTAATGTTCGCGGTTTTAATTATTTCAATGGGTTAAACTAAATTGAGGAAGAATAACTCAAGATTCATATTCATATGGGTTAAGTTAAAAAACTAAAAAAGAGTTTGGCTTATATATATATTAAGTTAAAAA